TTTTTTTTTTTTATTAATTATTTCAATTATTTTTCTTTCTGAGTGATTTTGTTTGTTTTTTTCTTGGAAATTTTGAAATGTTGAATGAAATAAAAACTTTTGGGTAATGGTTATTCAACGCTAAAATCTGGGTTTGCTTTCAAGAGCATAAATAACAATACTATTCATGGTCCTTGTGTTTTACGGGAGTATTTTTGCATTCCAATTAACAGATGTGTTTATTGTAATGTACTTTTTTAAATGATGCCATAGAAGGTAACCTGCATTTTGTATCGTAAATGCTGCTTGCAATGCACTGGAGTATGTTAGTGATTAAACGTTATCAAGGAATATCTCTGAGGTTAAATTTTTTTTTTTTACATTGATTTTAACCAATTAAGAGTTGTTAAGACTCTAGTGTGTTTTTACCAACTGTTTTGAAAGGTGCGATGTTTTCCTAATTTAACGTACTAGGTTTAGAAGTTATATAGGGTTCAGAACTTTAATAAAGGTACACAGTGTGGTACACTTTATGAAGACAAGTTTTCTTAGTTTAACGAGTCGAATCCTCTGAATGTAAAGACGGATTTTAGTGGTGTGTGTAATTAGTTTCACATTTCAACTCTGGGTGTTGGATGGCGTAGTGTTTATGTTTAACAAGGAGTTACCATAGTATATTTTTATGAATTGTGATCATTTTGAAATGGTAAAGTTACTCATCTTTTTTTAAAGACAGAATTTATGCTTTTCTTCAATAATTGAAAGTTTTATTTATATTCATAATTTTTTATGGGATCCTAAAAGTTGTGGGTACACGCACAGCATGCCCATAGTAAAACTTCTACGGAAAATTTTTTCTGTATGTTCGGTAAACATATATAGTAAAAAGTGTTGAAGCATTTAGAAAGAAAAAAACCCGAATTACAGCCACCGGTTGTCGGCAAATGTAATTTGCAGAGTTATCACATGTGAAAAGACATTTTTGAAATCTATGATGGCTTCTTATAAAGTTAAATTAAAAAATCAAAATTCACTTTCATTTTTTATGAGCACCCTTTATGCTTTATTATTAGGATTTTCATATCATTCTACCTCGCTTCGTACAATATTTATGTGGTAGATGCTCTTATTAAACCTACGCTGCTTCTTGATGAAGTTTTTTGAAGCGACTAAATTTCCGATCAAATTTTTCCTAATTTTTCGTTCATTTCACTATCGGTTATGCCGGCTTTTAGAATGCCTGTGATGGCCCTACGCTGGTATGGTCGTGGAAGACTTCTTAAACTGGACGATGGCGCTCCTGAAATTGTTCTCCAAAAAGATTTTGTAGTCCATGTTTCTATTTCAGAAGATAATTTATATGTTGCATTACAAGGTACAACTTATTAAATTAAAATAGTAGTTGGTAAAATGCAGAAAAATTCAACTTTACACTGCCAGCTACCCTAAATTCTTTATTTTTCCCAGGCAGAAAGTAGGTATGAGTGGAAAGAACTACACTTGAAATTTTGATTAATTAGTATATTATTTTATTTAAAAGATGATTAAAGTTTTGAATTTTAGAAGTTTAGGACTTGTAAGTTTTTCTTTCAAAGCTTTACTTTTTCTTTTGTGTACTAATTACTTTCAAGCGATCTTTGCAGATGAATTTGGAATTATGAGGCATAAGCTTTTTTTTGAATCATCTACTGGTTTTCTTATATCAAAAGTAGTATTTGTTATTCACACATGGAAAAACGACGGACCTGAAGAAGAGCATTCCTTCATAATACAATTTGATAATCAACAAGGTATAATTCTACACCAACTGATGGGATATTTCAGCAGTTTCCTTTGTCAGCATGAGGTTTATGGGTAGTTTTGGTGCAACTTGTATATTTCAATGTCACAACTAAGTTAGATTTGGAGGTTTCCTCAAGTGATCTACTAGATCACATAGTGATAGATAGTTGGTGGCCTTTTTTAAATTGCATTCAGCTTTTCAGACGCTTCAAAGTTCTCTTCTGCATTTAACCTTTGCAAAGGCGTGAAGTCACGAACTTCTGCTAACTCTGCTGTGCCGAAGGAGGGTAACGTGTCGGAGTTCGATGCACGTACTGAGCAAGCTTCTGCATCTCAGTATTTTCAGTTTTACGGGTTTGCTTTTACAACTGGATATTTAAGTTTTTTGCAACAAAAAACAACTAGTTATATAAATGAAGTGAAGATGATTTCATTACATCGTTATAGGTACCTAGCGCAGCAACAGAATATGATGCAGGATTATGTGCGCACTTCAACTTACCAGCGTGCTATACATATTAATTCAAGAGACTTTAAGGATAAGGTTTAGTTCCTAACGTATCCTCTTATTCATCGCGCTGCTTTTAGAGTGTTCTGCTTATTTTTTTTATCAGTAGTCTATATCCTTTTGCTAAAAAGTTTTTTTAGGTTGTGATGGATGTTGGAGCAGGCAGCGGCATATTATCTTTCTTTGCTATTCAAGCCGGAGCCAAGCGCGTCTATGCTGTAGAAGCTAGTTCAATATCAGTTCACTGTGCGGTTGGTAGTTGTTGAGGATTTGGGAATGAATGTTCATTAATCTTTATATTGGCATTTTTAGCACTAGTAAACGGTGGGAGACTCTGTATATAGTTATTCATTTAGGAGTTGGTTAGAAGTAATAACTTGTCGGATCGGATTATTGTTGTTCCGGGACGGGTAGAAGAGGTGTCTGTGCCAGAGCAAGTGGATGTTATAATTTCTGAACCTATGGGTTACATGCTGGTGAACGAACGCATGCTTGAGTCGTACATGCATGCAAGGAAGTTTCTGAAACCGAACGGTTAGGTGTAGAATGTCACGTCTTTTTTTTAGGTGTAATAAGGCTGTTAAATTTTTAGTCGTAAAAGTTTACGTGTTTTACATCATTCTTTTCTGAGAAGTTAGCTACCTTGTATGTTTTTTGAGGCTATCTTTTGTTCCAGTTGAGGATTGCATTTTATATTAAAGGTTTTGTAACAACCAGCAGGTTCTTATAGGCAAAATGTTCCCATCTCGAGGTGATCTTCATTTTGCATTATTCAGCGACGAAGCTTTATTTATTGAGCAGTGCTCAAAGGCAAATTTTTGGTGCCAGGAAAGTTTCCATGGGGTTAACGTTTCTTCCTTAAGGCCTCAAGCACTAACTGAAGTTTTTAGACAGCCTGTAGTGGTACGTTCCTACTGCTCATTATCTTTTTGATGTTTAGTGACTTCTTCCAAACTTTCACTGACCATAAGCACAGATCTTTCGAATAAGCTGTTCAAATCTATCTTTTTAGCCTTTTTTGGTTGCTAATGTTACTCTTATTGGGTTTTTCAAATTTCACTGTTGGTGGCTTTTTGGTTGATCGAATATTGGAGTATTTTGTAATTTTACTTTATTGATAGCTATTATTGTTTCATTAGATTTTAAAAATAAGTTTTAGGACACTTGGCATCCTAATATTTTGATGAGCGGCAGCATGAAGTGGTCTGTAGATTTTCTTAAGGACCATGTTACTGCTTTGCACAATATAAACATTCCATTTACATTTGCTGTCAAATGTATGGGCTTTATTCATGGAATAGCATTTTGGTTTGACGTTGCTTTTGTAGGTTCAACGTAAGCTTTCAACCTTGTTTGTTGACATACTTTTTTAAAGTGTTATCTGTGTATTCATTTAGAGGAAGCAAATTGAAGACCTGTAAGGTTAAAAAATCGAGTTTGTGTCTTGCAGCTTAATAATCGAACAAATCTTTTGTCTGCTAGGGCTGACATTTGGTTTTCAGCGAAACTGTTTGGCTGTCTACAGCTCCTACAGAACCACTCACTCACTGGTACCAAGTTAGGTGTTTGTTTGATAAACCGTTGATGGCATATGCTGGGCAAATTGTTAAGGGAAAGATAAAGTTGGTTGCCAATGAGAGGTGTGTTTTCTGTCTTCTATTCATGTCTTCTATTCATTTTTTTCGGGAAACATCAGTTTTTTCAAATATTGATGACAACGCTTCCATTTCGTTCAAATCTTTAGTTATTTTCAGACAGAGTTATGATGTAGAGATTTCTGCTGAGGTCAATGGACAGACAGCAAATAATTCGTTGGATTTAAAAAATCCTCTTTTCCGTTATACGGGAGCTGCTGTAGTCCCCCCTCCAGGAAACGCCGTAGAGTCCCCAGCCGATGCTCTTCTTCAACGTATTTTTTTTGCAGCTTAATTTTGCAGTTTTTTCGATACTCGTATTTTCTGGTCTTTATAATTTGTCTAATTTTCATTCATTTTTAAGATAACTACGAGAACTGCTATTAATTAATTTTTTAGTGTTTTTTTTTTACAGGTATGACGAACGGGAACGTTGAGATGCCGTTAGAAGGCGTTTCAAATGGTTTTACTCCTGGGTACTGTGATGCACTAACTGGCGCTACTCAAGTTGTTGCTCATCAACTTGCTGCTTCAAGCAACATTTCTGGTACTTCGGGAATGAACGGCGCAGATCTTATTGATATTTGTTTGTTGCTTAACTTTTCTTATCAGAAGATTTCTGTTTCAATCTTTTTTTCATTCTGTTGATTACTTCTTTGCTAACTGCCGCTAGCGAAGGAAATTTTTTTTAGTCGTTGTTTCTCCAGATTTTTTCGTAAATAATGAGGTATTTTATCTTAAATTGAAGAAATGCTGTCCAGCTACTTGTTAGATTTAAGTTTGCAATATGACAAAGCCACCCCTAAGTTTTTTCAAAAACAAGGTCTTTTGTTCGTACATACCATTTCTTTTCAGTGACGCAATCTCATGCACAGATGATGCAAAAGAATCAAGAAGTAAAACAGTAGAGTGAAGAGCACGTCGCAACGGTGTTCTGGGAACACTGCTTGTTCGTTTCAATTGTGTTTGTGATTGTTGCCGCGTCATGGCTCTTTATTTTTTTTATTTATCCTCGCTTTATTTTTGCATTTGATTAAGCCGATGTTATTTATAATTTCTGTTAATTTGAAATGGTGTGATATCTGAGGCGAGCCTTTTAACTTGAGAATTTTGGAGAAAGATCTCTGGCTGCTGTCAAGCTGCTCGTTTGTCAATAACAGAATTTCCAGTCCTTGTACGAAGGAGTTAAGGTGCACATAAGTGAATTTTTGAATATCTTTTTATCTGTGGCTGTTTTTAGAACTTTTTTTTTTTAAAATTTTTTTGACCATCTTAAGGAGTTTTTTGGGATTAAAGATTGTACTGCCTTTAGCGGATTTGCCAATTTTTTTTATTATTTTGTTCATTTTCTTTTAGTATTGAGCGCGCCAACCTCGTTTTCAAGGATAATATTCATTGTTAATTTTACTTACTTTGGTTACAAGAAAGCTTCAACATAAGTGGTCTGTGTTATTATCTCGGTGCAAATTCCTGACATAGTGTTACTACCGTTTCGTTAATGTGGCTTAGACTAATTCATATTTTTCTAAGATATTTCCGGTCACTCACCTTTTAATCTCAAAATGCAAGTAACGTTTTTATGACCGAGATGTATCTTTATTTCAGAAGCAGTATTTTGTTAACATTTAAGTTAAATTTCTGTTGCGGTATGTATTTCTTGCTCGTGCTGTAGAGACCAGTTTAATCTGATATTTGAATGACCGCCTGTTCATAGGATCAGATTTGCTGTGTTCGATGTTTGTGGTTGTGTGCTTATATAATTTTTTTTACTTCACTCACACGCCATATTAGTAAAACCGTTGTAATGCTTATATTCATCACTAAAATTGTCTGCGTACAAGAATTTTTGTGAGACTTTCGGTTTTTCTGTAGTTTATTAAGTTGGAGCTGTACTGGTTCTCTAATTATTCTATGGTAAATATTGGATCTGCTTTCTTGGCACAATAATTGTCTCAAATGATGAAGTTTTGCACAATTACAGAATGACTTTTCTCATTAGCAGGGGAAGGAGTGGTGCTTGTACGGCAGGATTCTCACAATACGTTTAAACGTCAGTTTTGGTTGCACTGTGGACTGGTTTTTTGCTAAATGTTTTTGGGGGTTTTAAAGTGTGATAGAGTTAGTTATAGTAAGATTTCTCAGTAGTTTTTGGTTTGCTTGGTCGTAATCAGCGAGCTTTTCACGCGATTAGGGACGGTCTATGGTCATAGTGTCTTTGCGGGTGGGTGACGAAGGAAAGCGAGGGATGAACTTGTTATTACTGCTGGAGCTTTGATGACGAGGTAGAAGTTCTGGTGGTAGATTTTGGAGATGGTCCGTTACTTTAGCGCTAGCGCAGAAAATGGTCATTAATTTTACAGATGGAACTGGTTGTTTTGCTCTATTTTGATGTTTAGGAATTTGAAGTGGTAGGGGCAGGTTGTCTGCACTATGAACTTTATTACAGAGTATGATCAGATGGACATTGCGTTTTTATTAGGCCTACTCCTCCGAGCATAAAGATAGATGGGAAAAGTAGTGGCACTGAAGGATGATACATGTAGTCGCGTTAAGCCAGGGCCAAAGTCGTAAAAACGATATGTGGGAATTGTCTAAACGGTCTTGAAGGGTAATTTCAAATAAAAATTTAAATTAGTTGAGGGAATTTGAACTTTGAACAGTGCAGGAAACTAGAGATGGATTCTTACGTTTATTTTGTTAGTATTTTTTATTACATAGTGTAACTAGTGTATGATTTTTTGCTGCTTTTCCAGTATACAGCTAAAACGACAGCATTTGGAGTTTGCACAGTATTGTACTTGTTGTTTTGATTCAAATGGGAATAAATTTTAAAACAAATCCTCATCCACGCGCCGCGATAGTGATTAAATTTTTGCCCCCATGTTCTGAAACGTTCTAAATAGTTTGTAAACTATTTAAAAAGGCAAACATTTGAATATTGAAAAAATAACGCTGTGAGCACGATGTGACTTCTCTTTTCACAGTTCTAAATTTTTAGCAGATTTAATTTGAATTAGGCGGACATAAATTATTGCAATTTGATTTGAAATGCAATGTTATTCTTTATTTCACCTACCAGATCTTTGTCATTACAATTGAATACTTTGTAGAGTATCTTTACTTTGCTGACGGTGAGCAAAATACAGTATGGGAATTTTTTTTCGCATTTTTATGCGTTTGGTGAAACGTTTTGACAAGTTTTTTTTTTTTGGGTACAATCAACTAAAAGATAGCACTCGTTTACATTTTTGGAAAAAAATATGAACAAAATAGCTTGGCAGAGAAATTAGTACTCAAAATATATTAGGTACATTATTACTAGCCTTCGCTGTGTATTAAATGGTTTTTTAGCAGATTTTTCTTATTACAACCGAATACTTCGTAGAGTAATCTTTAAAAGGGGATAATTGGTTATGTGGGAGAAAGGTGGTTTTTGGTTTATTGTTTGCTGCGTCAAAGTGTGAATTAGAATAAAACTCTAACTTAAGGAGGAAAAAAACTTACTGAACGGCTTTAGTCACCTGCAGGCTCGCAATTGAAACTTTTAACCGCTAGCTGCACAATCGAAAATTAAACACATAAACTTGAAAGGACAGTTCTGCCTTTGAAGAATAAAAGGATTTAAGAAAGAAATTCTGGAAAATTCTCGAAACGATTATTGTAAGTAAACCACCTGAGAAGAATAAAATTAATAAGAAATCTCTTTTTTCAAATGGGCGTACGCATAGACACAATAATTCACAGATAGTTAAAATCCGTTGGAAAATTTAAAGTTCTTTCAAATTTTGCAATGGATCTTCGGTTTTTACTCCTGAGTGATAGTAATTCTGATTGTGTAATACGTGATTTCGTTGAAGTTTTACTGTATCTAAGTGGATCTCTCAAAGACTGCGGAATGGTATTTCAAATTTTAGGATAGTTTGGCCTTTTTATTTTCATCACCAAATGTTGCCTTATTAGGCGGTGCTGTCAAAGCAATTACTATTGAAGCAAACTTAGCTGCCTTTACTTGTTTCTTTTTCTCAGACTGTATCTCTTCAGGTTTCTGTATAATACTGCTTTGGTGCTAAATTGACAGAGCTGTTCAGTTTGCAACCGTAACGTCTTTTTCTGGGAGATCACGAGCCATTTTTGTGTTGAAAAAACGAGAAAGTTGTAAAAATTGCAGGGTTTTTTTAACGTTCTGGTGGTTCAGCAGTGATCTCAATCTCAAAGTCAGTTAATTAAACCTTTGTTATAAAAGTAACGTCGTTGCGAGTGAATAACTAAAGATTTGAAAGCAAGATCGGGGTTTTTTCAGGACGATTAAGAGATCAACTGTGTTATGCGAACAACAGCAAAGAAGAAGGCTTTAAGTTATTGTTCCTTAAACTTAAAAATAGTTGGTTAAAAAAAATGCTTATTTTAGTTTATAAAAATTTTGCAAATGATGTTAGAGCATTTCAAGCCGAACCAGTCGGGGGCGTACAGTTCATGAAATCATTCAGGACTGAAAGCCTTTTCAGTTTGTTAAGACATAATGCTATACTTTTTTTTCAGAGGCACAGTCTTTCCGTCGCTTATTTCTCAATTCACGCACATAACTGATAGAAAAACCTAAAATTTTGCTTTAATTGAGGTTAATACGACTATTTTCGTCTAACTTCAAAAATGTCGTGACTTTATACCAAGAAGTATAACAAATCAAAGATTTGCTATTCAAGACTCAAAAGCAAACGATGATCTTGCGAAGAAGTAATAAGCAAGTATGGCTGTACTGTGTTATAAACTGAGAATGTGTAGTAGAAGTTTAAAAAAAATTAAACTTTGCATAAAAATGTTAGTAGGAAAGCAAAAATACACTATCTTCTCAACATGAATTCTCAATATTATCCTGTTTTCATTTATTTTCCTGGACCTTCATTTTCCACGAGGACTGCAACTTTTTTTGCATCTGTGCTTCCAGTCTAAATTGTAATCGCTATAACTAGTGTTAAACTGTAATCTCTTGCTAACCAGTGGTTTCCAGATCTTCTACGGAACACTAATTATAGCAATGGAGAATCCCATATTTTTTCTTATTCAGAATGTCATTTTTATGTCTAA